AATACGCCCCAACTTTTGTCGAAAAGTTGGAGAAATTTAAAGAGGACTGAAACATAACTCCTGCGTGAAATTCATTTTCACTCTGGAAAACTAAAACGCTTCGCAGGATTTTCTGGAAATACCGGTCTTCTGAAATTGCTGAAAAATTGCATTTTTAAGTGAATGATAAAAGGTTTTGTGTAATGCGGGTTTGAGAATTTTGGAGTGAAAAAAAAAAAAATATCAACTGAAAATTAGTTTCGGTGAGTGATAATAGTTTTTGCATTTCGCTGCAAAAAAAATTATTTTTGCGTTTGTTTACTCGAGCATATGCGTTGCAATTTTTAAATTAAGTCATTTATTCTGCTTGATAAAAATATTATTTTTAAAAATAATCTCTCGAAATTTACGATTGAATTGCGTAAGTTGTAGATATCTTCGAAAAGTTTAGCAGTTATCGGCCACAAGTTCGTACAGCACATTTAACGACGTAATTTAATTAAATTAATGGTGCTATGAAAAGTAATGAAATTCATTTTTAATTCAGCTGATTTTTTCTATGCAAACACAATAAATTTATTCAAAGAAATTAATAAATTGATCTGATAAGTCTTTATTGCAAAAAATTTCATAAAATATGCTTTGAGCAGATTGTTCACTCAATTTTCTTTTGTCTTTATTTATGTTACAAATTTTATTAGTTGATCTAAAAATCTCTGGCACCACAGGAATGTGTAATAAAAAAATAGATTAAAAGAGAATTTTCCCAGGTGAGGATTGAACTCGCAGCCTCGGCATAACCTCGCAAATACTGCCTATAAGTACCGCGCGCTAACCAATTGCGCCACTGGGGACACCTGTTGCTTTTATTGTAATTATTTAAGACAGTTATACTTTCACCTGCTTGGAAACATTAAAATCTAGTTTCTGTTTCGTACATTCTGTCATTTTGTTTTTTTGTTTTTGTTATTTATTTAATTTTTTTTTTTCATTTTTACTGGGGAATAATAAGATTGAAAATCAGTCCATTATGTTTGTCTCTGTTTTTATACTTTCAGTATATGAACATTAATCTCTCTAAATTGTCAACGCCTATATAATGGGGAACACCACTTCAAGGTGTTCACGTTGTCCTTATTGATTAATGCAAGCGTATTACTGGTGTTACACCTTCTTGTACTAGCGCCTGTAAGGAAGAGAAATATAAGGAAAATAAACAAGTAGGCAGAACATTCGTCTTGCCAGGTGATCATTGCATTGCAGGTGAAAGTAAAAATGTCTTAATCATTTAATATAGATGGACTAGGTGTCCCCTGGGGCGCAATTGATTAGCGCGCGGTACTTATAGGCAGTATTTGTGATGTTATGCCGAGGCCGGGGAGTTCGATCCTCACCTGGGGAATCTTTAATTTTAATTTTATTTTACTATTACAAACATCCATGCCACCCAGAAAACTGGCTGTTTAGGCTCTATTCTTGGTGGTTTAGGCGGCCTGGCGAACCCGAAATTTGGTACCGAGCACCAGAGATTTTTAATATTAGTTGAAATATAAATAAGATATTATAAATTTGGAATATAAATATAGACAACAGAAAATTACAAGAAAATCTGCTCAAGGCATATTTTATGAAATTTTTGCATTTTTCTGTGAAGAAAAAAAAAAGAAATCAGTTCAATTAAAAAAGAATTTCATTAATTTTTATAATACAATTAATTTAATTAAATTCTTGCTATATGATCTCGTGGCCACTAACTGCTAAACTTTTCCAAGAAATCTACAGCTTTGCGCAATTCAAATCGTTCTTTTTGAGCCATTATTTTTAATATTATTATTATTAAGCAGAATACATGAAGTAATTTAAAAATTCCAAAGCATATTCTCAAACAAAAGAACTTAAAAATATTTTTTTTGCTGCGAAATGCAAAAGTATTATCACTCACCGAAACCAATTTTCAGTTGATATTTTTTTTTTTTTTTTTTTTTTTGACTCTCAAGTTCTCAAACCCACATTATACAAAATCTTTTATCGTTTGCTTAAAAACGTAATTTTTCAGCAATTTCAGAAGACCGGTATTTCCAGAAAATCCTGCGAATTGTTTTAGTTTTCCAGCGCGAAAATGAATTTCTCACAGGAGTTATGTTTCAGTTCTCTTTAAATTTCTTCGCTTTTCAACAAAAGTTGGGGTGTATTAAGCTGTGAGAACCATACGCCCTCGCTTCACAACCCGCGGGCTTTCAATAAGACCAAAGATTTATAATTTAATAAAACCGACGCGAGATATGCACTTTTGTTAGCGAAAATTTCTTCGTGCAGATTTTGTTTTTGTTGTTGCCATTTTCCTCGGCCAATATATTTCGGTATGAATTCGAGCCTCTCGCTTGTTGTCAGATTCCTTTAATCGTAACTTTTTCGGAAGATATTTACCTAATCAATTTATATGCGGTTTTACTTGTCCGTTTTCTATTATTTTTCTAATACATGCGACATTTTTAACTGTTGTTTTGAAGAAGAAATTACCGAACATTATTACTTTTGGTTACTAATATACGAGGCCTGAAATTCATAATAAATATATAAATAATATTGATATATATCATTAAAAAATATATGTAGAAATTAAGATTATTATTTAATTAATATTTTTAATTTTTTAATAATTAAAAAATCAAGTATTTTTATTTATAAGTACTGCAACAATGCTTAAGACCAACTAGTGACTCAGTGACAACGTGCGCCACTGGTGATCATTAGGGATGATGTTCAATGCATTGGCGGCTTGGTTGTAACAATGTTTCTAAAAACGAGGAGCATTGATGGCGTTTGTGATGTTCAACTTCTTGCCACGTTGGCCGGACTACCTATTAAGAGTTTACCGGGTTGTGTTCCATACGATACACAAATTAATGTTAGTTCTCCCTAAAATGTTCTCCCGGAAGGCACTGCTCTTCTTCTGCAACAACACGGAGCCAAGTCGGACTTCTACCTACAGATGCTCCATTTCAACAGAAGCTGACCACTTTCCTTCCATCCATGAGTAGGTCACTCATGGGATGTTACTTATTAGTATGAATTTGTAAAACATCGGAAAAATGTATGTTGATCGTATTTCTTTTGACTATCTATCTAAACAAATGTCATTCATATTTGTGACAGTTTAATCTTCAGTGCAGGACGGAGATAACATGAGCAGTCTACTTATGGGTGGAGGGAACGGTGTCAGCTTCTGTTATAATGGAGCACCTATAAGTAGAAATCCGACTTGAAGAAGGTGGCTGTGCCTTCTGATGTTTTTTTTTTTTTTCACTCCCAAATTCGCAAACCCGCATTCTACTAAACCTTTTATCATTTACTTAAAAACGCAATTTTTCAGCAATTTCAGAAGACCGGTATTTACAGAAAATCCTGCGAAGTATTTTAGTTTTCCAGCGCGAAAATGAATTTCTCATGCGAGTTATGTTTCAGTTCTCTTAAAATTTCTCCGCTTTTCCAACAAAAGTTGGGGCGTATTAAGCTGTGAGAACCATGCGCACTCGCTTCAAAACACGCGGGCTTTCAATAAGACCCAAAGATTTATGATTTAATAAAACCGACGCGAGATATGCACTTTTGTTAGCGAAATTTCTTCGTGCAGATTTTGTTTTTGTTGTTGCCATTTTTCCTCGGCCAATATATTTCGCTATGAATTCGAGCCACTCGGCTTGTTGCCAGATTCCTTCGATCGGAACTTTTAGGAAGATAGTTACCTGATAAATTTATATCCGGTTTACTTTAAATTGTTGGCAATTTTCTATTATTTTTCAAATTTTTAACAGTTGCTTTGAAGAAGAAATTGCTCAGCATTATTGCTTTCGGTTATTAATATATGTGGCACGAAATTTATGTTAAATATATAAATAATAATGCTATATATCATTAAAAAAATTATGTAGAAGTTAAGATTTTATTTTTATTAATGTTTTAATTTTTTATAATTAAGAAATGAATTACTTTGATTGATAAGAAATTCAGCAATTTATAAGCCTGACTCGTGGCAACTTACGCTGCTGATAGGCATGAAGTCAGAGGTTCAATACATTGGCGGCTTTGTTGTAGACAATGTCTCCAAAAAGAGATTTGATGGCGTTTGTGATGTTCAGCATTTTGCCTCGTTGATCGAATTACCTTTTGAGATTTTACCGGGTTTTGTTCCATACGCAAGTGCAGATTAGTTTACCCTAAAAAGTCCTCTTGGATTATCCTATCAGGAAGTTCCCTATATTTTTAGTATGAATTCGAGTCTCTCGGCTTGTTGCAAGATTAATTTGATAGCAACTTTTCCTGAAGATAATTACCTGATAAATTTATATCCGGTTTACTTTAAATTGTTGTTCAATTTATTATTATTTTTCTAATTTTTAATTGTTGTTTGGAAAATGAAACAACTCAACCTTATTGCTTCCGGTTATTAATATATGTGGCACGAATTTTATGGTATATATATATATATAGATAATAATAACGGTATATAACATTACAAAATGTATGTAGAAATTAAGATTTTAATATTTTATAATTAAAAAAAAATCAAGTGCTTTAGTTGAAAAGAAATTCAACAATTTATAAGCTCGACTCGTAACTCAGAGGTAACGTGCACTGTTGGTGAACATTAGGGCTGAGTTTCAATCTGTTGGCGGCTATGTTGTAGACACTGTGTCAAAAACGAGTAGACTTGATGACGTTTGTGATGTTCAGCATCTTGTCTTGTTGGTCAGACTACCTGGTGGGAGTTTTCTCCCATACGATACATACATGATGTTACACATAAATTGTTAACGTCTATATGATAGAGAACACCACTTACGTCGTCTTTATTCATTAATGCAAGCGTATTACTTGTGTTACCCCTTCCTGTACTAGTGCCTACCAGGAAGAGAAATATAAGGATAATAAACAAGTAGGTAGAAGATTCGTCTTGCCAGGTGATCATTGCGTTGCAGGTGAAAGTATACATGTCTTAATCGTTTATAATCACTGCTGGAGTCTACAGTGGCATTTGGTTAGCGAGCGGTACTTATAGGCAGTATTTGCGATGTTATGGCGAGGCTGTGAGTTCGATCCTCACCTGGGAAACTTTTTTTATATTTTATTTTTAAAACATTCACGTGGTCATTTTTTAAATATTGATTTAAAATTAAAAAAAAAAAAAACCTTTAGCAGTGAATTAACAATAATCTTAAGATACTAATCAATTGAATTTTTGAGATTGTAATTCATTAAAACCAGAGTAAAACATTCATTGTCTTCGACAATGCAGATGGATGCTTTTTACAAGGAAACTACTTAGGTTTTCTGTATTGAGTCCATTTCTAAGTCCTTTAAAAGCCTAAAAATTTCTTATTATTTCAAAAGTATTTTTAAACCTTGCAAAGACTGTAAAAATGAAAATCGATTAAAAAAAAGGTTTAAAAAATTACCACGTGAATATTTAATGAAAAACGGTTAAAAAGGTTTAATGAAAAATGGTTTTGTTAATTTAATCTCTTTAATTAAAAGAGATTAAATTAAAAAGAGATAAAATTAATAGATATTAATTGAAAGAGATAAATTTAACATCCCCTTATTTCTTTATGATTCTTTAATGTGGAAAACACTTTCAAATAACTGTGATATAAACTGTTAAAACACCTTTCCTGTTGAATTCAATTGGTGTTAAAAGTAGTCTAAATCTAACGCCCTCTAGCCGTCGTTAGGCTCAAAGATACCGTTAATTCTTTGTTTCGTCAACTGGATCTGACCCTTAATTCTCATCAATGTAATTAAAACTAACATTTCATTAATATTTTATATGTAACCTTTATCAATTATAGATTTTATTTACATCAGATTTTCCGTAAGGAATATTCTATATGTATCTTGTAATCTCTATCATTTACCAATTATTTACACAAACCTAAATTAGATCCAGTTGAACGCTATTAATTCCAAAACATTGTTAAAATGAATTTATTTCTTTAATATTAATATAAGAAGTGAGTTATTCAGTCGACAAGAAAGTAATTTCGATTCTCATCATTTAAGTACATTGCAAAAATCGAACGTATTTTTAACTAACACAATACTTTCCTTCTATTCATATTATGAGGACCAAAATGATAATATTAATATACGAAATTAAATATGAAAAAAAAAAAAAAAAAAAAAAAATGAGAAATTACAAAAGTAATACAAAAATTGCAACCTTCCCCAGGTGAGGGATCGAACTCACAGCCTCGGCATAACATCGCAAATACTGCCTATAAGTACCGCGCGCTAACCAATTGCGCCACTGGGGACACCTGTGTCTTTTATATTACATGATTAAGACAAAATACTTTCACCTGCAACGCAACAATCAAATCTTGTTCGTATTTCGTATATTGTGTCATTTTGTAAAAGTGTTTAACAATTTTTTTTTTTTTTTATTGTGGAATAATTAGATTTAAAATAAAATCACTTATATTTTTCCCCTATTTTTAACGCTATTTCTTATACTTTTAGTAAATGACCCATGATCACTCTAAATTGTTAACGTCTATATGCTAGGGAACACTACTTTCGGGTATTCAGATCGTCTTTATTGTTTGTAGGCATATTACTGGTGTTACCCCTTTTTGCACTAGCGCTAGTAGGAAAAGAAATGTAAATAAGCAGACAGTATTGATGTTAGAACAGGTTTTTTTCCTCATTAGAAAGGTAGAAAGCGAAGCAAATAATGCAGTGTTCTTTCAAGAACTCTAGATAGTAAACTGATTACTTAGATAGGTAATTATATCAAGTAATAATCTGATTACTTGCATAGACTCAGTGAACTGATTGTCTGTCCACTGAGTCAATGCGTTTTTAAAGTCACTGACTTTTGCAGTGCAAGCTATTAAAGGAATTGAAAACAAATTCTCCCTCACTCTGTCTAGTACATATTAATCTAGTACACGCATGAAAATATAAAATGAATATATCATTATTTTAATTTGTCGATTAGCATGTAATTATTTAAAACTAAGAAATATATATAAATTTCTTTTTCTTCTTTAGTTACTACAGCCTGTTACAGGCCAAGGTCTTCTCAACAAGCTTCCTCCAACAGATCTAATCGGACGCCACAGTAACTCCTCCAACGATTGATTTTTAATGTCTTGAGATATGCCTCTACGCTGTTTTATCCATCTTGTGGGAGATCTACCTCTTTTCCTGGTACCCACTACATTTGCAAAAGTCACCTTTTTAACAGGGCTCCTAGCATCACATCTAAAAACATGCTCAAACTATCTAATACAAAAATATTGGATGACTCTGGAAGAGGTGGCTTGTAGATTTCATGGATAAGCAAAATTCTCCATATATCCTTCTCTCTAACTGGACTAAAAATATTTTCGGAGTATTTTTCTTTCAAAAATGAAAAGTATGACTTCATCTCTTTTGTAAATGGTCAGCATTCACTGCCATACCATAGGATAGGTCTGATGAGAGTTGTATAACGGTTTTCTTGAGAGTTTGGAATTTAATAAACTCTTTAAACGATGGATATAGAAATTTAACAATGTTAATATCATGTATTAAAAACTTCTGAATTATGATCATTTATAATAATGTTTTATCTATTTAAATATTATAAAAATTGATTAAAGTATTAAACAAACATTACTATCAATATATGCAAATATTAAATCATCATCATCAGTGGCACGACAGCCTCATGGTAGGCCAAAGCTGTCTGCCTACTGGCAGATTTCAGGGAAGGAGATGCTTTTGTGGGGGTAGGGTTGACAGTCTTACGCCCAACTTTCTACACTCATAGTAGATGGGACTTACGGCTTAAAGTGGATTCCGAACCACTACAAACATCCTTCGCCTGCCGGGACTCGAACCCGAAACCTGTGGTACCGAGCACCAGAGCGCTAGTCATCCGGCCATCATGCCCCGTCTGTGACTTGGTTATTTTAAAATAAATTAAAATAAAAATTCATACGTATTTAATTAAAATAAAGTTAATAAAGTTAAAATTATTAGTTAAAGTTAGTTTAAAGTATTATTATCGATTTAATTATGGTATATAAATAACATACATAAATGTAAACAGAAAAATATGTTTTTAGGATGATTTTTATCGTTTTAAATATTATTAATTTTCTTCAAACGTTTTGTATTTCAATAAATTCTTTCATTTGAAGAAAATTGATTTTAATTAATTTATTTATTATTATTATTATGATTATTTTAATTGTTGTTATTATTATTATTATTATGATTATTTTAATTGTTGTTGTTATTATTATTATTCTCAATTTAATTGTTATTATTTATTGTTGTTATTATCAGTATTATTTAAACAAATAATAGTAATATCCATTGAGACGATATCGCTCCTTTTTTTTGTGTACAGTCTCAAAAAAAGTAGCGATACCGTCTCGATACAGTATCACCACCCCCACCTTAACCAATCATCCCAAATGGAACACGACGTGCGACAAAACTTTCCTCTCGCTACACTGTCTCATAAAATGACGCTTAACCCGCACGGCTCCCGTGTTGCGCCCCGGCCATAAAACTCATCGCCCCACCTTAAAAGGGCTGTCACGACCACTTAAAGGGGGCTTCCTCCGGAGCCGAGATAAGTTTCCTGTCGCAGCCCCTAACGCAATAATCCCCGCCGCTCTCTAAAAATCTCCAGGTTTCGAGTGTCCAAATGGGGCGCGCGTTATTTTCTGGAGTGTTAATTAAGGCTACTTTCGGGCGCTAGAGTTAAGGTGACTTTGGCGTTTTTAATTTTGAAATCCGAGAGGAATTTGTCTTCTTGGGTGTGTTGCAAGGCAACAAGAATTTTTACTAAGAAGAGTTTTTTTAAAAATATGCTGAACTTTGTGTTTCTAACAAGTGTTTTAATTTTCAAAATTTGTTGCATCTTTATACGCGCGTTTGATCTTTATTAGACTTTTAACGGCATATACGTAGCAGATTTAATGTTACAATGCAAGGCTTTGCTGCATTACACATCACATTAAATAAAATGAAAAAAATGTTGCCTTATAACCATTTGAGATTTCTAAGAAGAGTTTTTTTAAAAAATATACATAGCTTTGTGTTTCTAACAATGAAACACTTTGTTAGAAACTAACTTTCAAAATTTATTATATCTTCATATTCTTGTTGATGGCCACTAAATCATTAGACTTTAAACGACATATTCGTAGAAGATTCAACTTTATAATGGTGGCACGATGTAGGGCTTTGCTACATTATACTCATTTTGCCTATTCTCAAAAAAAAAAAATAACAAAATGTGTCTCATAACCATTTGTAATTTTTGAGAAGAGCTTTTTTAAATATGAGGATTTTGTGTTTCTAACAAAATGTTTTGACTTTCAAAATTTGTTAAATCTTTATATGTTTGCTGATGATCATTAGATCATTAGACTTTTTAACCCATATTCCTAGCAGATTCAATTTTACAATGGAGGCACTACGCAGGGCTTTGCTACTTTGTTATACTCTTATTATGCCCTCTCTCATATTCAAAAAAAAAATAATTAAAAATATGTTGCCTTATAACCATTTGCAATTTCTAAGAAGAATTAAAAAAATAAATATATTTGGCAAAGTGTTTTAACTTTCAAAATTTGTTTCATATTTATATACTTGCTGGTAGTAACTAGATCATTAGACATTAAACAGAATATTTGTAGCAGATTCAGTTTAACAATGAGGCACAACCCTGGACTTTTTGCTGCCTTACACTCACCTTAAAAATAAAAAATGTTGCCTTTTATAATCATTTGCAATTTCTAAGAAGAGTTTTCTTAATATAAGGCATATAAATATGAGGTATATTTTTAAAGGCATATACGTAGCAGATTCAACTTTAAAAGGAGGCACGTTACACTGTTTTGTTACATGACAATAATATTTTTGCCTACTCACCCATTAAAAAAAATAATAAAATATGCTTTATAGCCATTTTCAATTTCTAAGAATAGTTTTTTTTTAATATACGGAGCTTTGTGTTTCTAACAAAGTGTTTTAACTGTCAAAATTTATTACATTTTTTTTATATATTGGTGACCACTAGTTTATTAGACTTTTAACGGCATACACGC